CCTCTTTTTTCCCTCATCCGAGCCTTCCCCAGACTCCAGGACTGGCCCATCTTCCTCCCCAACCTCCTCACTGTCTGAATCACTGGTGGGCCACAATGCAGACAGACAGACGGCTCTAGTGGTTAAAGATTATTGTTATGAGTGAAAAAAGAGGAGGAAGGAGTATCGGGTATTTATTTTATTGATGTTTACCTTTTGCATTCAACCTAAATCTTGTGTGAGTTTTCCCTCCTGGTACAAAATGCCTGTTAGTTTTTCTTTGGTGTTTATTCTCCCTGTGTGCGAGTTTCAGTTTTAATTCACTCTACCTGGCCCACTTTCTGGAGGCACCTGGAAAAGGCAGCATGCTGGCAGTCATTGGCTTAATACAGTGGCTCCTTTTCCAAGCTCCAGCCGACCACTTCAATAGCAATCCACTTTGTTTTCCTCCGCGTTCCCTGCGGCAGCCAGGATATCCTGCAGGAGAGACTCCGGATTCCTCTCCAAGTGATCGCTGCTCACATCCAGAGCCTTTCGCAAACCCTCCAGGTCCGTGGACTCTAGGATCAGCAGCAGCCTTTCCGGATCCTGGCAATCCTTTTCAGCGGCCTCCCCAGCAGGAAGGCTCAGAGGAGGAGGAGGAGGAGGAGTCTCCATAGGGATGTCCTTAAGCCCAGCAGCATCTCCTGCCGGTGACGATTTCGACCGGTGTTTGCAAAGAACGGATTTCAGGGCCAAAAGAACCTCGCAGGCTTTGAGCGCCACCGGCCTGTCGCAGTCCTGGAGGCCTCTGAAAAGGAAGCCAAACAGTTCCATTTGGCAGAAGAGCCGCAGCGCGTCGGCGAGAGGCGCCGGCGTCTTGGCAAGCGACGAACCGGCCGAAGCGGAGCCCTCCCCGAGTCCGAGCCCGTCAAACGTCTGGCCGATGAAAACTCCCGCCAGTTCCAGAGCGCGGATTTTGACTTCCCAGTCTAAGTCTCCATCCGCAGCTTGAAGAGCTCGGGAAACGAACTCGGCCGGGTCCGGCGAGGCCTCGGGGTGCCCTTCCTTCAGCCAGTCAATGAAGACCCCGACGGCAGCTCGGCGAGGAAAACCTTCGGAGTCCGAAGACAAGATTTCCAGCAAGCGAGCGCCCCCGGCACACACCTGGGGAGCAAGTGGAGAGAGAGAGAGAGAATCTCAAAAGGGAAACTTGGCGTCTCTATGTATGACCTAGCAGTGTGCGGTGGCAGCCGAAAAAGCCAATGCAATCCTAAGCTGTATGAAGAGAGGGATACAATCAAGATCAAGGGAGGTGCTACTACCACTCTATAAAGCCTTAGTAAGGCTACACCTAGAATCCGAGGTGGTGCAGTGGTTAAATGCAGCACTGCAGGCTACTTCAGCTGACTGCAGTTCAGCAGTTCGGCTGTTCAAATCCCACTAGGCTCAGGGTTGACTCAGCCTTCCATCCTTCCGAGGTGGGTGAAATGAGGACCCGGATT